GAGGGAGGGAGGGAGGAAGGAAGGAAGGAAGGAAGGAAGGAAGGAAGGAAGGAAGGAAGGGAGGAAGGGACAGAGGGAGGGAGGGAGGGACAGAAGGAGGGAGGGAAGGAGGGAAACATTTGTGCTAATAATCTAAATTTCAAAAGAAAAAGAAAAGGAAGAAAAGGAAGAGGACCTTAAACATCAAGGGCAGGTGGAGATTTTGCACTGTAACAGATCTTTCACATTAATTTTGCATTTATAAAAAACTGTTCTTTAATATAGTTTCTCATTATAAATATTCATCAAATGGATCAAATTTATTTTCAGCTCCTAAAGTTGTGCTCAGTTTGAGACTTTGCACCATGGAGGTCAAAGTGATCAAACTAGCCATTCCTCTGTTTCCTTTGCTGTCCCTGTCCAGACTGCATAGGCCTTTGCTATAGTCCGGGGACCTTGTCTATAAGAAAGATGCCCCAGAGATACTGAAGGTGGTCCTCTCTTCTCCCACTACAAAGACCTTATGACCCCCAAAAAGTGTTCCTTGGCTCTGACTACAAAAAACAAAGCTATTGGCCGTAGCCCCTTCCTGCCCAGCATTCCCTTTTGGCATCTGTTACCATCCAATCGTGTATTCATTCTACACACTCTAAGCAGGAGGTGATGAAGGAGGGAGCCCAATTCCCAAGAGGCTGTGGGAGGTCCCACGGCCTGACCTCACTCTAGCCTTATGAAGGGCATCCTGCTTTGGGTGCCAATCTGCAGAGCCAGGATTGCAACACAGGGCCTGCGGAGCACAAAGAGAGGCATCGCTGGTTTAGCTCTTGAAGACTCATCAGGCCTTTTTAAATGCCCCATCACTGAGGTTTGAAAGACAAAATTTCCCCCACTGGTGGGTTGGAAAAGCAGCTTTGAGGCTGTGGCTCCTTGCCTCTTTAGCACAACCAGACAAGTCCTGGGCAACATCTGTGTCAGCCCACAGCTCTGCCTGTGTCCTCCAAGGGGCACTCTGACAGGAGGTTCTCCTGCTACTCACAGCCCTGATGTCAGAGTGGTTGGAGACAGAACTGGAACCAAATCTTCTTTTTGTAATGTGAGCTCTGAGTTTTTAAAGGAGGACATTCCTGATGGACCTTTTATTAGAATATCCCTATCGAACATGTCTATTTTTCTACAGTTATTGAGAACACGGTTTAACAGCGTATTTTGTGTCAACTGTTAAAATTTGGACTTGAACAAAAGTTGTTAAGACTGAATTTTCTAAGCAGCAAGTAGTGAATGGGGTTTTTCATTAAGATAGTTAATAAAAGGAACCCCCAACATCTCCCTTTCTAGTCCACAAGTCCTAGTCCTTATTCCCAAAGTCACTCCATCAATAGATCAAATAGATGAAATTCATCTATGTAAGTCCACTAATGCAAACAGACCAGAACCGATGGAGAGCTCTCTCTCTCTCTCTCTCTCTCTCTCTCTCTCTCTCTCTCTCTGTAGACCCAACGTTTTGGGCTGCTTGGTTGATGTTGCTGAGTCGATTTTCCATAAAACATGGTGGGATTCATGGGCCAAATAGGAACCTTGAACCCGAGGATTCAGTTGCCACAGTTGACCCTGATCTGACAGAGCAGAAGTGTTCCTAGAGAAAGGGGCAGGTTTGGTGGGAAGCAAGGGTCACTGAGACCCTTGTAGCTCACTTACACCCCCAACCCAACATGGGAAGAGCACTTTATTAGTTTACAGAGCGATTTTACACAATCAAGACAGTTGTTCTGGGCTGGCCTCTGGGCAAATGGTGTTCCTATATCAATACACTGGAACCACGGCATCATCGGCTCAGCAGTTTGCCATTCGTTCTGAACACCACACTGAGGCGTGGTTGTCCCAGAGAGCCACACCATCTCCATGAGGTAGAACCCTCTGTTCCCTCCCTCCCTCACTTTGGTTCTTTCCCTAATTCTCTGGTTCCAGATCTATTGATTTAATTCAGTACTTAGAGTTCCCTAACAGAAATCTAGTTCTCGTCTGAAAATGTCAACCTGTCTCTTAAGCACAATTTTTCTCTTACAGGTTTAACCAAAATAGGATTCTGACATGCTTATTTCTTAGTATAGTCTAATTTAAAATTTAATCCTAGCTTCATGTAAAAGTCTAAATGTTCATGTTTCTCGCTCTCTTCCCCAACCTCCCTGCTTTTTTGTCTAGATTTAAGTGAGTGACTTTGGGTTCTTTAGATATTGCTTATTAAGGTGGGCAAAAGAGCATGTAAGAATCCATGGACAGGGTCCTGGACTGAGGGAAAAGGAGAAGAACACGAAGGACACAGCATTTTTCTCATCCTGCCTCCTGAATGTGGATGCAATGTGGATGCACGGTTACCAGGTGCCTCAAGCTTCTGACACCTTGACTTCTCCACCATGACAGACTGTACCCAGGAATTGGGAGCCAAAATAAACTCTTCTTCCTTAAAAAAAAATCATCCATGCACACACTGGAAAAACATAAGATCCTTTTAGCTAAGAGGACACAATTAAAATACACAGGACAATTCACTTCCAAAACAACTTGCTGATAAGTCAGCTTTTCAAGCCTTTCTTTCCTTGATTTGAGTGATGCTCTCTCTCTGGCTGAGAAGGTTCAGGAAGGCAGCTGAAAATCAAATGATCCACATATCTGACCATCACTATGATGATGGGTCTCATTTCTGTGATTATTGCCTTTCTAGGAATGATTACAATGTTGAAAACAAGGAAAATTTGCATAATAGACAGTTGATTGATATTACATTACAATTAAATAATATTATCTTGTTTCAGACTTTATATCCAACCTGTGTTTAAGAAAATGTTACCTTTTAATTTAAAATAGTGTGAAACATTTCTCTTAATATTGTTGCCCTCTGATGTCTCAGGGAGCTTTTAATTCATCTAGACATCAAGATCTGTCAGAAGATTGCCAAGAGATTTGGATAATGTGTATGATTTGGACAGTGCATACAATAACAAAACAATATTTTACTTGATATTATGTGGTAAATTCAGAACTCACACAAATTATCTCATTGAATTCTAATCCACCACAGGAGGTTGAGTATAGAATCTACATCTATATGATTGGAGATATAGAGTTTGGGCAAATTGAGTAATTTCACCGGGGTTAAAAGGCCAGTAAATGATAGATCCTGTTCTCAAACCCAGGTCAGAAGGCTACAACCTATTGAGGTGTTTTTATACAGATCTGCTAACAGAGTCTAGCCTGTTATAGACTTGTATGCTGACACTGATTTTTATAAGTGGCTAGGGGAACAAATCAAAAGTATGCGGGAGGCATATATCTTATCTAATCTCAGGGCCAGATATGTGACTCAGTTGGTAGAGTGCTTGCCTAGCATGCACAAAGCCCTCCCTGGTTTTGATCCCCAGCACTACATAAACCAAGCGTGCTGGAACACACTTATAATCCTAGCACTTGGGAGGTGGAGACAGAGGGGTCAGAAGTTCAAAGTCATCCTCAGCTACATACTGAGTTTGAGGTCAACCTGGGCTACATGAGATCCTATCTCAAAAAACAATTTCAAATCTTGGTCCATAAACAAAGTTTTCACACACACAGCCATGCCTGTGTGCACACACATTGTGGCTGCTGACACTCTGAACCAGAACCAACTAATTGCAAGAGAGATCATGTGGCTGACAAACACCTGTACTATACTACTAAGTAGTATTTATCATTAAGTACTTAGTAGTAGTATTAAGAATTGTGCTATTCTCATAGACTCCTGGGAACATCGAAGAATGCCAACGACCTTCTTTCCCAGTACAATCTATGGGCCTCACTCATAGATTCATTCCAGGAAAACATATTTTGGTGTTTTAGAGTCAGTGGTATAGTCAGGAATCAGAGAGAAGACTTCGTTTCCCTAGACATTCCCCTAGTCTTCTGGGATCCAGTGGCCCACCTAGAAAGGACAGAGTGAAAGCACTTAACAATAAACAATGAAGAAATGGAAGTTCCTGGCCCAGCAACAGAAATGGGGCATTCCTGGTGCCTGTGGACTTTAGATTCTGCAGATTGCTCAGGGGCTGAAGAGATGTGCAATGGTTGCCACATAACAAACCAGCCTCCCCTCCCCACCATGGAGGAGAAGCTCCTCGCTAGCTTCCTCTAGTTTGTAACTCAACTGAGCGATGTGATAAAGATGACCCTGAACTGCTGTCCATGTTTTGCTATATTACTTATCTCTCTCTCCCTCCCTCTCTCTCACTCACTCCCTCTTATCTCTCTCTCCCTCCCTCTCTCCCTCCCTCTCTCACTCCCTCCCTCTCTCTCGCTCCCTCTCTCCCTCTTCCTCTTTCTCCCTTCTTCCCTTCCCCCTTTCCTCCCTCCCTTCCCTCCCTCCCTCTCTCTCCCCCTCCCTCTTTCCCTTCCTCTCTCTCTCTCTCCCTCCTAACTGCAAACAAGGAACTGTGCTCCTCTTGGA